ATTTTTAAATGCGATTTAGAATAATCCATAAGTTGTTCATAATTTTTCTGATGTAAATATTAAAAATAGATGCAATACATTTTTAAATATTCTACGTAATTATTTTTATGACTCAATAAAATTATTTTCAGATTTGTATCTGGCTAAATTTTTAAATACTTGAGCACAACTTTTCTCCGTATTGTGTACTCATATTATTTATTAATCAAGATTAAAGTCGAATAAATGTCATTGCATTTAATAATTACCTTAATGTTACATATTGCCATAAGAGAAAATTGTCACAAGTACATTTCGTTTGTAAATCATGTGCGCGTACTGTCGAGATAAAAAAGACCGTGATGGAGATAGACAGAGCCGACGGGTGTGATTCATCTCTTCGCTGCGGCTAAACAGGAAAGAAGATTCAATAATTGGACAAACGATCCTGTCCAAAATGCAGTCGTCTGCAGTGTTGACACATCACGGGCACGATAATTCATCACCACTCGCATTAACTAATTCACTACGATCTAACTATATTGTCAGGGGGTCATGGAACTCATGGGACATCCGTGGCGTTCTGGGTCTTGCATTCCCATGGCGGTTTATGGTATAATATTAATCCGTATGAAATATTAAACTGCCTTTAATATTTTTTGAATAAAGCACGTGTATCTTATCTTTACAATATATTCAATAAGAAGTAAATATTTTTATTTCCTATTGTATATATTTTTATTTGCCATTTAAATATTTTTATTTACTATAATAAATATTTTTTATTTGTATGAAAATAAATAAGTTATAACGTTATATAATATTATATAAGTGAAGTGCAAAAGACAAAATTTATTTAGTGCAAATTATTAATCTTTTATTCATTTTTATGAATTCAGAAATGTCTTTTTATTATTTGAAAATAAAGATTTTATTATTCAGCAAGAATCGCGTGAAGATATCGCATGTACATTTGTGAAATATATTGCATTTTCACAAATAATATTCGCCGCGTAGAAATTCGCGTCATTCGCAGTTGCGAGAGCAAGTATAATATAACATTCAAATCAAAGTATTCAATTACAATGTACAATAGTGCGATGATTGATGAACCTTTGCCACGCGCGGAAATGAGACCGTGGGGAAATTACGTGACAAATAATGGAAATACATGTTCGGATTTGTGGTCGCGGGCGTGCGCGCGCGCGCGAGAAGCAACCGCGAAGTGACGTGAAGAAACGTATTGCACGTCGCTGCACAATGATGTATGCTCGCGCGAATGCAAAATGCGCGTTGATCGGAAATTATTGAGAGGTCAGCTGATTCTCGGAAGGAATTTATCTCGGGTTTAAACTGACAATGAGTCAATTTTTCAGGGATCTTCATAGCGATTAATTACCACCATTGCCAGGCGTTGCCGCTCGATATCCGTTATCAGCATTTGCGATCAGCAAAAACAGCATCTTATCCGCTCTCGAGCTTCGCGATTTTTTTGCGTATCGCTTCACAACGATGCCTATCGCGAATGAGAGATCGTTGCAGTTTCGTGAATCTCTCGAGCTGTGTATAAACAAATTCATTGACATAATCATGAATGCAAAACGGCGAAGTAGGAGAGTCTTCGCGGCAGCAAAGAAATTTGAACCGATGTCTATCTTTTGACGTCTTTTGACTTAATGACGTCATAAAAGTGCCTAATTGCTGAATTACTAAAAAATGTGTCATGTATATATGAACCTATTTTATACTTTTATGAGTCTAGTCTAGTCTTTGTGCATCCTGCTTTCAAGATATAGACGAGACTTGGTTATTTCTTAAAGAGGCAGGTAATGTTTGAAAATATATTACACGTATTTTTATATATATTGAAAAAATTATGAAAAATTATAGCTTATTCTAGATCACGTTTAATATAATATAAAAAATTTTGCGGTGGTTTAAAATCTGGATCCAAAATTATTTAGTAGTAAATATAAAGTGGAAATGTGCTTTAATAGAAATATAATTAAGAAATAATGACAAAAATCTCAATAAATACTTTAATTCAAGATAAAGTAAAATTTTATTGCGACATTGCAGATTAATTGTTTTGTAAATAAAAAATAAGATTCTTGTCATTATTTCTTAATTACATTTCCATTAGAACACATTGCTACTTTGTTACTAATTCATTTAAACAATTTTTAAATTTTTAGATTTTAAATTGCTGCTAAATCTTTTTGTATTATTTTTAAATGTGTTTTAGAATAATTTATAAATTTTTCATAATTGTAAATATAAAAATAGGTGTGACACAATGTCAATCAATCGTCGCTTCTTTCTTGCTACTATTTCTCACGATTGTATGGCAATTTTTTAAATTTCTCAAGACGCCAAGGAATAAGCGCAATAAAACATTTCGTAAATCTTATTAAACCGCGACGAAAGAGGCGTATCGGAAGTTACATTATAGCGTGGTACTAATTTGCTGGCGCAAATTTGCGCGCACGGCGGAGCTTTTGTGCACACGGCATTATCTCTTTACATTACGATGATGTCCAATGTAGAAATAAAGCGACGAATCAAACAAACAACTTTTACAACACGATCGGTCAACAATTAAAGACTTTGTTTATGCAGCCGAGCAGTCGAGATTATCCCTCTTGTTTAATTAATTTCCGTACTTTACTTTCGAAAATCATTCGACATTTGGCTATCGTGCGAGGAGGTACGTAACGATATCTCATCTTTAATATGGCTATCGTGCGACTGTACGTTATTTCGGACGGTAGAAGACTAATATCGGCTATAAAATAATTAATTTTCTTCACATTTGATTGTTACGGATTGAGTGAGTGAGTTTATTGTCTTCGATAAGGTGAGACGGTTAGACATTAGCGGGACTGGTGCCCAAATACAAATATATAACGAAATATATAACGTTCGAGAGATCAGGAAATTAGAAATCCATTATTTAAAAATTATGCCGAGATATCGGAGAAGTCATCGATCGGAGCTGACAGCCGGCACTGGTTAAGACGACCATTCATCAAATTACGTGGTAATTTTGGTCAATGATAACTCATGACTTTGAAGGCAGCTTCCTACGAGCCCTCGTCGAGGGAAGTGGCCAATTGCCGTGCACGGCTTTCGTACAGTCGCTACTAGAAACGCCTCCAATAAGATTCCTCTCGTGATGATACCTTGATAGGTTTATTTGCACTTCGGAGCGATTATTTTTATAAATTTCTATTATTTGCAACATCGAGTAAAAAAAATTCTTACGTATGTAAAATTTCGCGTTAAAACTCTTTTTTTTTTAAGTTCCTCCATCCTTTTCCTCCCTTTTCTCTCTTTTTCCGTTTCTTTACAGTCAGGAATCGGATTGTTAGTGATTATGATATTTTGATTATCAGTTCACCGACGTGACGTTCTTTCAGGTACTGTCTTTGAAAAATGATGTTGCCTTGATAAGAAACGAATGTAGAATAATACATAAATGTTAGCTCTTATCGGCAAAACGGTGTATCTCCCGAATTGAATTAATACGCGCGAATTGAATTAAAATGTCGCGTTAGATAGGAAGAGGGAGGGGGAGGGGGATGACAATTTCTTCTCAACACTGCGACGTATGCGAGGTGTCCGTTGACAATGGGCAATTTGATCGGCTGTGAGGGGGAAAATCGCGCGTGTACGTACATACGTATGCGACGGTCGACGGCTGTCAGTGCGGTGCCTAATGAGTCTGTAAATTGGTTCAGGCTATAGGGCCTCCTATCTGAGAATTGCACAGTCGGCTCTCTCGTCTCGCTGTTAGTGTGACTCACTGGCTTCGTGTGCGACGAGTTCTCGCTCGTGATTCTCAAACTTTCGACATTTCTCCCTCATCGATCTGTCCCCGTGTGTGTCCGTGTCAGTGTCACAGTGTACTCGTCGATTTCCCCATTCCGCCAGTCCGACGGAAAAGGAAAGGGCTCTGGGTCATCAGATTCTAGGTTTCACATTGGCAACCATTTTGCAAAGGGAAGGAAATATAGCGGAACTCTACGAGTTCGATGTATCGCGCGCAGATCGGTTTGTCGCGAAAACGTCATTGGACATTGCGCAAAGCGAAAGAATCGGCTGTCAATCGATCCTTTTCGAGGAACATGGAAACTGCATGTTTAATGTGCAGAGAAGAGAGAGAGAGATCATGAAGCATTAATGCATCGGAAGGAGATATCGGACGACTACGCGCGCGCGCGAGTGTATAATCCGTGAAATCGCGACGCGATCGAGCAAAGAGCGCAAAAATGGCAGGCCAAACCGTGAAGAAAGAACTTCTGGAGGAGACTCTACATCATCAACCGGAAGGTAGCGAGGAAGAAGTGGATAAAGAATGGGAGGAGTTTACGAGACTAATGGCGAAATTAAAAGAGAATCGCCGGAATCGTCCACACAGGTATATTCGCGTGTAACATTCCTCCTCGATTTTAATAAAGAGAAGTAAAAAGTAAAGAGAGAGAGACACCGAAATTTTGAAAAATCTATCTAGATATCTGAACAAATCTGAATGTAAAGCAAAACGAGGAGGAGAAATGAGAAAATAGAAGCAAATCAATAATTTATCGATCATTTTTTAATATTATATTAAAAATATTTTGTAAAATAGAAGAATAGAATTAATAATTAAGTAGCAAAAATCGAATCTAAAATCTTTTTTAGACCTTCTCAGGCGTTCTACCCATGTCCTCCGCCAAATGCGGACGAAGAGCAGCAGGAATTCGATCCTTTCGACTATATTAACACGATTGTAAGCAATTCTTTTTTGACAATCGGTTAATTATTCGCTCTTCTGTTTTTTTAAACGATCGCAAATATTCCACGTAAATTTGCGCTATTTGTTTGAATATGCAGTTTAAAGGATATTAACCACATTTGCTTTATTAATTAATTATTATTAATTATTATTAACTTATTATTAATTTTCTAAAGGTTCCAAAATCTTACACTTTTTTTAAAGGCCGTTTTTAAATTCAAATTCTGAAGGCATTTATGATTATATATCATGCCATGATGAATTAATGCAATTTTTAATAAAATTAGTGACTACAGAAACAGTTTATAATTAAACCGTGACTATTGTTGCTAGACAAAGCCTAGACTAAGACGCTACTTGCCAACACTTTATTATGTACTAAATCTTTAATTATTTCTTTTAATGTATCTCTTTGTATTTTTTTATCTTTCTATATTTCCTATTTTTTTTAAATATTTTTAATCCATAATTTACAAAAATTGTAAAAAAAGATATATGATAATCAAAAGTATCAAATATGATAGTCAAAAGTTCATGTTCTAACAGAACATTCGCTGACAAATACATACTTACATTTTACATTTAAGTGCTCTTTGAGAATTAATATTTCACAATCAAATTACCGACTAGTTTTGATATAACGTTGTAATATAACGATTTGTTCAAGATTTTCTATAGTTCATAAATCATTTTGCAATACTGAATCCAATGGCGCGACCTTTGGACAATTGCCAAATGGGTGAGATTATATTTCAAATAAATGATTTTGCGACACGATTGTTGTCAAATTTAGAGAAATGTACAAGTTTTCTTCTCTTATTATTCAAATATCATGCCATGATGAGTTATTACAATTTTTAATAAAATTAATAATTGCAGAAACAATTTATAATTAAACCGTAATTATTGTTGCTAGACAAAGCCTAGACTAAGTCGCTACTTGCCAACACTTTATTGCGTACTAAATCTTCAACTATTTCTTCTAATGTATCTCTTTGTATTTTTTTATCTTTCTATCTTTTCTATTTTTTTAAATATTTTTTAATTCATGATTTACGAAAATTATAAAAAAAAGAATATGTGATAATCGTCAAAAGTTCATGTTCTGTTTTCAAGAGTCCGTACAGTCTTCAAATGTCTATAAATTTCATTTTTTTCAAATATTTCACTATAATCCACATCATTATCTTATCGACGTGATGCTCACAACATATATGTCATTACAAAAATTGTGCGATTTGTCCGTGATACTTGGCAGGAGTGTACGTACATGTTAGACCTTGACTCGTCGCGTATCATACGAGAGAGTATCGAATATTTTGTCGTGTGACGTCTGGCTGCGCGTGTCGAAATCTTTTAATAAATTCAGAAATGCCAGCCGATATGGATCTTAATTTTCGCGCGAAACCGTATAGAGAAAAAAAATCTAAATTCACATTTCTCTCTTACGTCTCTCGCGTGAATATAAGAATCTCAAAAAAATAATTTAATTGAATAAAATTCTACAAAATGTCTCGAGACATAAATTCACAAACGCAGAGACATCGCGAGAATATTATTTGTGCATATTTTTTCTTTTTATGTTTTTTGTGAGATATTTGCTGACAATTCACATGCGGTGCTAAGAGTCTCTAATAAATATTTCTTACGTAATCCTGTGCTTGTTGCACTGCCTGTTCGCGTTATGAAATTTATGATTTACTTCTGACAAATAGATGGCGAATAGATGGGGAATTCGCGATTTATTGACAGTCTCGTACTTACTACTATATCAAAAAACCGTGGTAATCTATCAATTGGTGTGTTTAAGTTACGAATATTTTCTTTTTTTATATGATGTCGTGTTGCAAATTGAAAATTGTGACGTTCAGGCAGATTCTTATTTTGTGAAAACGTGTGTGTTTCGCGTCGCGACCGTATATTCCGCGACCGGTACAATTTAATAACGCGTGGTGAACAATTCACATCAGTCACTGCAATTAAGCACTTGATCAGCTGCCAACGAATCGCAAACGATTCTCGCGACTATTTCGCAATTTACGGCAATGTAAATGCGGAATTCTAATGACGTATGCTCTTCTAGATGTATATTAGTAAAGATGTGTAACGCAAAATCTTTTGTACGTGTTCAAACTGAACAAAAAAAAGTGCAAATTATTTTGCAAAGTATTATCAAGCAAATTTAATTATTATTACTTAAATAGTTATAATAAATGTTTATTATTAATGCATAATATTATTATGTATTATATTATTATTTTATATGTCAAATTTTTAGAATTTCTGATATTTCAAAATCTTAAAAAATCTTAACATCGAAATGTCAAGACAAGTTTTTAAATGAAATGTATTTAAAATCACGTTATTATTCTAAATTCATGTTCTTATAATTAGACATGACACATCTCATAGTTATTAAAACTGAAAAATATATAAATAAATAAAGTTTTCACATATCTTTATTAGTCAATCTGATATTAACAGTTATTATGCAAAGTCTGGAATTTGTTCATTAATTAGCGAGTTTGGTTAATATTTTGTAATGCTTTGGTTCACGCCAGATAACTGATAAATTCTCTGCTGTCTAGCAGGAAGCTTTGATTTGCGTTTTTTATGCAAAGTATTCACGACAGATTTCAGGAAATACTCTAATAGTGCAAGTGTACTCGCGTATATCAATTTATAGAGTTTGATAATCTAAAGGAGTACGCGTGATCTTTGCCGCAACGCCTTTCCAAGCAACGCTTTTATGCACGCGCGAATGAGCTCTTAAGGACTCGTTATACTTATTGAATATGCGTGACCAGCATAAAGAGATCCTCGCGTTACCATCATGCATATATATATATATATATATATATATATATATATGCATATATTCCAGCATTTATACGCATGTGTGTGTTTCATACATGAATATATGCATGTGTGACAACAGCACAAGCTGCATGAAGCTGCACTCTCGTACAATTTCTGGATGCATCTACACACTGCCTTAGCTTTTTTTTATTGCTAGCGTTTGCCACTTTTAAATATTACCAGCTTTTTGTAATGGTAAGCGATAATACCAATTATACGGCGAGATAATTAGCGTGGCCATAATAGGATGAATGAGCAATTCGAATAACTGGGGAATTTCTATACGCGCGAATGTTTATTTGAGAGGTCGTCTGTATCACCAATCAATTAGGCTTAAGATAATATATTACATTAACTTTTACTCACAATGAAAAAATTATAAAAAATTTATAGATTATTTTAGATCGCATTTAAAAATAATATAAAAAGACTTAGCGGCAGTTTAGAATTTGGATAAAAAATTATTTAAATGGAAGTGCGCTTTAAAAAATATAATTAAAAATAATGATAGAAATCTCAATTTTTTTATATAATTAAATACTTCTATAAGTATTTAAGATTTTATATATATAAAGTTTCACTGCAATGTAGAGATTAATTGTGTTGTAAATAAAAATTGAATTTTTATTAAGAGTACAAATAAGCGACAGTATAAAATTAAAATTAAAATTTATTTACAGAATAATTTCATTCTATGCATGGCAATTTATAAACTTTATATAAAGTGTTTTTTATATAAGTACTTTAAGTATTCAAGATTATTTATATAAAGTTTATAAAAAACACAAAGTTTTTATCATTATTTCTTAATTATATTTTTATTAAAACACATTTTTATTTTATATTTAAATAATTTTTAATACGAGCTCTAAACCATCGCAAAATGTGATATAATTTGTAAGTAAATTTTATAGCTTTTTTATTATAAATAAAAATTATAAAAATTATAAAAATAAGTATGATAGTATGAAGTATGATTTTTTCTTTCTTTCTTAATTACTAAAATTAGATTAGAGGCCAATTGCCCAGTAAAATATGGTCGTTGCTGATGCCACGTTCGTGCGTACATCGTTTTTAGATATTGCTTGTATTTCTCTTGTATTAATCTAGATAACCGAATTTATCCTGATTTGATCTAATCTCGCATTTTTACGACATCTTCATATTGAAATCGATCGTATCATGCACGATTAAAACACGTGACTATTGAATATTTCATCGGCATTAGCTTCTTTGTACTATGTAGCAAAATGCCAAGAAGAAAAATGCAAATGACTAATGAATCTCTAAGTTTGCTATTAATATCAAGATATTTCGCATCAAGTCGAACTCTACGATTCTTTATACGATCGTAACCGCTCAACAAAATCGCATCATGCATATTGCATACATATTTTAATAACAAATATTTTATTTTATTTTTATATTTTATTAATAAATTTTGGCGATAATATTAAAATTATAGCATCATACCGAAAGAACAGTTTTGCTAATTTAAAAATGGCGAGATATAAATATGAATATAATTTTATTGAGCTAATCAAAATAATTATGCATGCACGATAATATTGCAAAAACTTTTATATATTTTAATAATTAATTTAAATGCCCTATAATTATTTTGATGGTCTACAAATTATTTTCAGATCTTTATCTGATTAAATGTTTAAAGATTCGAATAAAATTATTTTTTCTGTGTAATATTATGATCAAGATTATTGATGATCAAAACTGAAATCAATTAGCGATCTTGTTTTAAAATATTTTATATCTTTAAGATAACGCTCTGTGTATATTTCTTTAGAGAAAAGAGAGTGATTCGCAAAATTATGATAAAGAAACGTCACTTACACGTTAGATATTCATCGATGTTTTCACTTGTCATAATATTATTTTTTTGCTTGCTTAAAGAGGTCTGCGTGATAACAAACGTGACTGATTATTAAGCGGTTGATTAGAGAATAATATAAATTTGTAGCAAACGAATAAATAGACCGCAGTATCGCGTGCCGAGTTTATAATTCGTGAATGATCGAGAATATTAGATTTATCAAGAAAGCATAAACAGAACATAAGTGGTAGCGAATAAATAACAAACGCGATGGTGTTTCATGCCAAGTATATTTTTGCGCGGATCTTGAGATGCACTATATAAAATAAAAAATAGTTTTTGTATGTGCACTACATGCCTGCAATGCGATAAAATCTAGATTCGAAAATGTTTTTCGAAGAAAGTGACTCTATACTGATACGGATTTGTGATAAAGAAGAATGCATTTTAAAAACCAGAACGCACATCAGATGAATTTATATGGCATCAGGTGAAACGTCGCAGCTTATTTGACAATAAACAATAGGATTTCGCCCTGTTGATGCTGGCTGGGCAATGCTAAAAATAAGGATTTTGATCGTTGCCAAACTTCAACAAATATTGCTGAGGTTTGAAGCAGACATCCACGAGACGTCGCCGTTCAGTTTGCGTTCGTGTGCACATATGCACAGATGCATCGTATTATTTTTTCAAAAATAAAGGAAATTCTTCAAAATAGTTGTGAAAATTAGTATAGACATTGCCGCAAGTTTATCGCTATCCACATAAATCGCCAGGCTCACGAATACGAATAAATATATGACAGACATAAACATTACACGCGGGGGACATAAGCAAAATTTTTATAAGAATTTCAAAGTTTTATGCAAGTGGATTAGTATTACATAAGTGGATTAGTATTACAATAAAAGATAAGGAGTTTTTTTGTGTGATGTTTACGGAGAACGTAAACGAGATTCGTCTAGTGATGAAAGTTCTAAAGATCTTTTAACGTAAAAACAATAAAGAATTTTAATATATATATATATATATATATATATATATATATATATATATATTTAAAAAAATGTAAAATGTTAAACGCAAAATTTATGTAATGATTTGGAAACTCGTTAAGAAATTATTAAATAACAAGAAAAGTGAATGATATAAAATATTTATAGTATTTTTCGTTCAATTTCATTAATTTTTAATTTATTTATTAATTTATTTATTAATTTATTTATTATTCTCAAAGTGGATTATATAAGAATGCGCAAGAAACGAAGAATAAGATTCGTGCATCAATGCCAAAACTACAGATTTCGAGATTTAAGTTTCTAACATCTCCTTTAATGATTTCTGACGAACTCGATTACAACGATATCATACGATTACGACAATATCAGACGGCAATTTTTTGAGAGAGTAAAACATACTTTCTGGTGAAATGTATGACGGAGAAACAGTTTTTTCCGAGAAAAAATCGGGAATGTCCACACGGCGGAACTGTGGGACAAAAAAATAAGTGATGTACGATCGTGCTCTGATGATTTACGAAATGGTGGAGAAGTCGAGGACCAACGCATCCTTAGACTTGGATTCGAGCAATTCGAGTGACGCGTCCTCGACACAATCCAAACTCTTTGCCCAGTTCTCCTTGCCGGCCTTGATTTTGAACAGGGCGTACTATGTTTGTAACGACAACTACCTTGTAAGTGCATATGCTCGTATTCTAATCCTTTTGTTTTCCCGCGGTCGGATAAGTTTCCTGTTGAGACATCCTCGTGCACAGTTTTCGCCGGCATTATGACTATTACGAACAATTTCGTACAATTGTTTCTTGCGGCTCGCCGATGATAGCTCGTCGTTTATTGCCGCTCGTATGAAGACGATAATGTATCAACATGTAGACAATAGTGACGTATACGTCGACGAGACAACGCTTCATTAAAAAGCGTGATATATTTTTATCATGCGTGGCACTAAATGCCGCAGGCAATTATTTTTCACATAAAATTGATATTGAATTAACAAATTAATGAAACTTCGACTACTTAAAAAAAAATAATACGAATCAGTTGTGAATCTTTTTTCAAACTATCGATCATATTGCTGCGGTCTTTTGTCTGTCGAGAAATTTTTATCGTTCACGTGATCGAATACATTAATCAATTGCGGTTTTGTGGATTAGATAAATGTTCGTTTTGATAGATAGTACTTGCGCCGGATACGATATCAGATATGATTTTCAGTTTTGACACAATTATTTTAATGTTAAATTAATAATAGAATGTCGGAGACTCGCTCTTTCAATACTCTCATTCTCTCTCTCTCTC